AGCAGTGAATCCTGACATTATTTAAAACCGTCCTCTCCTTTTAAAGTGTTGTTTTGTCTTTTAGGACTCCTAGTCCTCCATCTTGAAAATATCAAACCTCCCCCCCCCCCTTCTTTGACCACTTTTCTCCATCACCCATCGTATCATAAAAGGCAGGCAGCAAGAAGTGAAAAAGAATGCTAGAATAGAACGAAGCAAACGGGCACCAAAAGTAGTGATGGTGATGATGAAGACAATGGCAACTACAACAACATGAGCAACAACAACAACAACAGCAGCAACAACAACAACAACAGCAGCAACAACAACAGCAACTGAAACAATAATATTCACAAAAACTAATAATTAGGACAAGAGAAACCAATCAAAACAACAAACAAAAATACAATGGCAAAGTGCTTAACTTGTTTGTTCTGTTCACAGATATTTGGAGAACTCATCTGGCAGGGTTGAGAGGAGAATATTTGCCCGCCTACAGGCTGATCCGTCAGAACTTGTGATGAAGAGCACAGGGGAGGCTCTGGAGAAGGTGATGATGATCATGATGGAGTAGGAGGAGGTGGAGAAGAAGAAGAAGAGGAGGAAGAAGAAGAAGAAGAAGAAGAAGGAGAAGGAGGAGGAGGAGGAGGAGGAGGAGGAGGAGGAGGAGGAGGAATGAATACGTGTGCAAGAACCTGTACGCAAATAGGCCGAATCTTTCTAGCATTCAAGTCTATTTTAAACAAACCACGTTACTTGGCTTTACTTTTAACACTTTACAGATGTTTCGAGCCATCATAAATGAATTAGAAACATAAATTTTGCCTTTTCATATTCTGTGCCTGTTGTTGCTTGTCATTTTAACTCACTGAAGACGTTTCCCTTTAATGGCTTTAAAAACCTTCAGCTCTGTGTGATGGTTCCCGTGGAAAATGCGGGATTATCATTATTGATGATGGCATCTATATTATATAAATGCAGCTTAAAGCACGGGATCTGTCTTAGACGCTTGTGTAGCCATTTGTGTCGTTCCACAAAAAAGTCTCGTGAACCGGTCGATAATGTTTTGATCCAGAGCATTTTTAGTTAGGTGACTGCTACGACTGCTTGTGTGGCTTTTTTTATTTTCTTATGTGTAAATTTTTTTAACACTGAATTTTATAACCTTTTTAAAAAAATCATGACAAATAATCTAATAAAGATAGACTCTTGTACTTTGGTAAGTTTATTGTTGTTGTGTTGTTCTTGATTGTGTCAAAATAGCATTGCAGTTGGTTAAATGGTTCTAATTTTATATAATATTTAAAAAAAACCAAAACCCTCAGTCTTTGGTGCTTGTACACAGAAAAATCCTTCAGTCTTCAGTGAGTTAAGTCAGAATTGAACAATCTGTATAAATAACAGATGTATACTTCTTTTTTAAAGCACCCCAAACACAGCGCGTCCTCAGGCATTGTCAAATGAGAAGATTGCTTGTCTTCAATGAGTTAAGAATAGATAACCCACTGATGAGTAGTTAGGCCTGTCACAGTTTCACCACAGCCCCGCTGGTCCGCAAAGTTCTGGGATGCCTTTGATGCTCCCTCTCCCCTTAACCCTATCCGTACGTCGTGTTTTACTATCATATCCATACTACGTGGAGAACTCTGTGCCACCACTTTCCAAAGAGGAAATTTACTTGTTAATCCAATCCGTACGCTTTGCATAGCAGTCTGTCAAAATTATTTTTTAGAGAAATACTGAAAGTTTCAAAGAGATCTTCCTACTAGAAGTGTTCGAAAATGTGAAGAATACAAAGCCAGGGGTGCAAAATGCCCCCTGGGTGTACGGATACGATAAACAAATGACAGGTTGTGGTACAAGAGGACAGAAAAAAAGTTTAAGTGAGTATTAGGCCTATAAGACGAATTGATTCTAACAAAACAGGAATTTAAAATCTATTGTTAACATTTATTTTATTTCATTTTAAAAAAAATTTTGTATGCTGTGTTTTATTCTATTCTATTCTATCTTATTTCCTTGTCAGATGACTAAAAGTGACGGCAAGTTTGCCTTGTTGATGGACGGCCCCGCAGCAGAATATCTAGCGACCCAAGAGCCATGTGACAAAATGGTGATAGGTGAAGTGCTCGGTCATCACGGGTATGTCTTCGCTTGTAGGAATGATTCTGGCCTCTGCAACAGAATGGATACTCAGATCTTACGGATGCAAGAAGATGACAGGATACAGAGGTTAGTGAGACAGCAGTTTGTTTGATCATGTACTGTTTTGCTTATTTATCTACTTCCCGATTGTTTATTCTTTCTTTTCTTATACGTGTAGTGTGATTGTGTGTGTGTGAGTGTGTGTGTGTGTGTGTGAGTGTGTACGTGTCTGCATGTGTGTGTGTGTTGTTCCCTCCTGTCTC